AGTGTTCGACTGAGGAGGGGAAACGACTTTTGGTTCGCGTTTACGGGAGGTTCGAAAAGATGAGGGTTCGAGAAATCCGAGTTCCGCTGTATGTGCTCTGTAACTATAAAAGTGGTGTTGTAATGAGTCACGCTCGTACGAGTAAGGTGACGTCAAATTGCAAGAAAAGATCTCGCAGACATTTTCAAAGTTTGTCTTTGTCTTGGCTGAAAACTATTTACAATTTCCCCCTCCCTCTCATCCCTTTGAAGGAATTCACTATAATGGGGCATATAAAAGGGTAGGGAATTAACGAATTGAGGTATATGAAAGGGTAGGGAAATCTGTCATTTAGTTATTTAAAAGAGCCTTTAATTAAAATATTTTGAACACGTTATGGCTCGATCATTTAATTTATTAAGTAGTACATGAAAATGACAAGCAATTTATTCATAATATGGCGATTTATACATAATATGGGCCAGTTATGAAAGTATGTGAAAGGGATGCCTTTTCTGTCAAAATAGTATACAAAAAGGTCAGGGGTTGGACCTCGGGGCGGAGCCACCCTTAATTAAACTTTGTGGAGAACCCTCCCCCGGTGGGTTTCGCACGGGTCATGGAAAACATGAAGTCATGGAATTCTAGAAGTTTATTTTCCAGGCCTAGAAAGTCATGAAATTGAAGTGTGAGTCATGGAAAGTCATAGAATAGCACACATTTCTGAGAATGAAAAGCAAAAAGATCAAAAGCTGAAAAATAACAGGCAAGTCAAAAAACCGGATTTAATTCCAGTAAAAAAAAAAATAAAAAAAAATAACACTAGCACACGTTTTATACCTCATGATGTGGGAAAATATCATAAATAATAGACTATTTTGACAACGCTTTGAGAGCAACAGTGCTTAACATAGTTCATTGGAAATTTGGAAAGGTCATGGAAAGCCGTCGTGGGATTTTAAAAGTTCAAAAGAGTACGAACATTTTCTCGGTGTTCTAAGAACGTCCCGTGTTCGAGCGAAGGTGCTAATCATGATTTTAGCACTCTTGAAAAAAATGAAGCAAAATCGCCGTGGAAGCGCCCCTTTAAGACTTTGGAGAATGAGTGGCATCTGCCGCTCCCCTCTTTCACCCCTGCCCAGACTGAATCTTTCATTAGCAGCCAAAGTAAACATATCTCTGTCTTATATAAAGCCAATAACTTTTATCACTCAAGGTTTGAGCGGTTGTAATCGGTATACTCTTTGTTGAAAAGACAGGAGCACTGAAGGCAAATTCCTGAAAAGAGCGGTCTGTTTTCTCAGTCAGCACTTATTGATCTTCATTCGCCTCTGTATTCTCCTCATTCTACACTAACGTTGTTCCGGGCATCTCTCTTCTCATTGGAATTTGAAGCAGAGAAGAAACAAGTTGGAATCGGATAAAAGGGTTGGACGGGGATCCCCGTGCGGCGCGTTTGGAAAAGAAAGCGGTCTGTTGTTTAGCCTAAAAAGCACGTCTTGTTTTAAGTGTTGAAAATGTATCATGGGCCTTGTATGATGAAAATAAGACCAAAGAAACAACTAAATACGGAATAGAGTCAGCGTGAAAGAAAAGGGATCTTCCCTCTTTATTTGCTCGAGCTGTACTTCGCGCCTCTGTCCAATTTCAAGGTTGGTAGACAAGCTGTGCGATAGCATCAAGGTCTGTCGTTTAAAAAAGGGTATCTCAATTATAATCAGTACTCCCGCCGTTTCAAAATAATCACCAGCTGTTTTGAATTAACGCCACTCTGCAGCAGGCCGGACCACACGGAGTTAAAACGATAAACAACGCACGACTAGACAGTAAACGGAACGCGACTTTTTCAATAAGATGTTATCTGCTGGAAGGAAAATCGTTAAGTAGACTCAAGATCTCTTCATTCAGTCTCAAGAGTGTTATTTTTACCTCTTCATCGTGGATTTTCAAAGTCAAATTGCCGCAAGAAACCGGACGCTACCCTGGTCGTATTCAACCCCTACCCCGTCTTAGCCTCCCTCGGGTTCGTAGCCTGTCTACAAGTCTGTCACTGGGGGAGGTGTTTCTCGTAACGCTTGAATGCGCCGCTAAAGAGTTGACAGTTTCCTCCGTTTGTTGAAACTATTAAACTTTGATTATGCGGCCCTTTTTGACCTTGCAAGCCGATCCTGATTTATTCACGATAGAAATAATTTAAAAGCGTCATTCTTCTGCTGCCTGTTTACTGGGTTCTTTCTTATCGGTAATTAATTTGATTTTATTTTACAACGAACATGAAATCCAACAAAAGAATGTAACTTTCATGATCTCATTTTTTTGATACAGTTTATCAGCCTATGTATTTTTTAACCAAACAACAATGAAGCATTCTTCGTGGTCATAAAGATATGATATTGAATATGATCAGGAATGATTATTCGTGTTTACGTACTTGGGTGTTTCGATGTTGCATATCAAAAATACCCGTACAAAACAAAAAAAAAAAAACACGAGAGGAAGCTTTTAACGCACGGAACACTAAATAAATCCGCTCCATTTTCGAATGTTTGACGTGCTATTTAGTCATTTTACTTAGTGGAGAACTTGTTTACAAATTTGTTCAACCTGCTTCCGTTGTGTGACATTCATTGTCCGCCTTAATTGTGTTAAAATTCCCCCAGGGGAATTGTTTGATGATTGACTGGTCAACACCTTGTCAACGACACAGGAAAAGAGTGAATAAACCTCTTATCGTTACCTGTAGTAGGTGCATTGCGATGAAGGGATACGAATCCTTGACTGCACAGCCGGCTTGGATTTGGCAATCTCTTTGTATGGACTCATATAATGGGAAGCAGGTTTAGTGCGAGGAAAAAAAAAATAGCAACAACGGGCGAACATTGAGAAGTGTGAAGTCAAGTGCCTGAAATATATATAACCGCCAAATTGGCGCACGATCTTTTCCGTACCACGCTCTGTGCTCCAGGCAACATCTTTATTCACTCCGCATAGTTCACATTTTTACGTGGAAGGATTACGCGGTGTTTTGTCGGTCGTATCGGCGTCATTATTCATTTTGCTATTTAATCACCGAGCGTTCGAAATTTAGCCCCACTTAGCTGGCGAGCGTCATGGCGCGAATGCTACTGTGGCTGGTATCGCTACTCACATTTTGCAAGGCCTCGGACGTTATGAAATTTCAAGTTTTCGAAGAACTAGAAGCTGACACTTTTGTAGGAGACATTTCAGAGAGTTCCATAGTCAAAGCAATGGCCACAAATGACAATATTAAGGGAGAGCTTCGATACGAGTTCCAAGGATCACTGCAAACGTCTTTTGGTATCGACGAAAGCACTGGTGTTATACGGACTGCCGCGAAGATAGACCGTGAAAACGTGTCCCTTGGACTTGTTCGCGACACATTTCAAATCTTAGTTCAAGTCTCGAAAGGAGTTATGAAAGCGGCTATACCGACGGAGATCAAGATTCTAGACATAAATGATAACAGTCCCATTTTTAAGGAGGATATTGAGAATATTTCTGTTAAAGAATCTGCGCTAGGTGCAGAGTTGCCAATAACGGTGGCGGAAGATTCGGACATTGGTAACAATTCTGTTCAAAGTTACGAGATTGTTGACAGGAATGACGGTGGGGTGTTTGACTTAAAAGTATCGCGCCCTACTTCGGAAATATTTCAAGTCAAACTTGTCGTGTCGAAAAGGCTGGACCGCGAAATAAACGACAGCTACTATTTGGTGATCGAGGCGAGAGATGGGGGTAGCCCACCAAGGGTTGGACGCAAAGGTTTGAGTATCACAGTTCTAGATTCGAACGATCACTTTCCCAAATTCAGCAAAGATCGCTATGTCGGCGAGGTTAGAGAGAATTCTCGTGTAGGAACGTTTGTGCTGAATGTTACTGCGACAGATAAAGACATTGGTACAAACGGTGAAGTCGTCTACTCTCTCCAAGTTCCGCCTCAATATAAAGATCTTTTCACGCTGGACGCGCGAACGGGCGAACTTCGTACAAACGCTGCGTTAGATTATGAGCTCTCGAAGGATTACCAGCTACAGGTGACGGCGAGAGACAAAGGACCGGACTCCATTCCGTCAACTGCTGTGGTAAATGTGAAGGTTAGTGTACATTGTGTACATAGAGTTTGAATCTCTTTGTAGGTGCACTCGTAAATGAAGTTAAACGCTCGACACAAAATGACGTTCTGCTGATTCTTTTGCAAGGTCACGATCGAGCTAATAATTATATAATCGCGGAGAAAATGGCCTTTTTTAATTTATTGTGTGTCATTATGGTAATTTAAAGAACGTTGCGTCCTCCTTTCATCGCCATTGTTCATTTAGTTTGACTTTTCAGGTTTGGTAAGTTTATGTTGAAATTTACACTAAAGAGTTGCATGTTATTTTAACACCAGTTGATAGATAGGCGAAAAGACTGTTGAAAGAAAAGCGAGAGAGGTTGCTTTATGATCTTTCAATACCGCAAAACGTAACAGAACTTCATCACTTCGCCTCAATTAAGTTTGGATTTTTCAAAATCCATTCTTTCTTTAATCTTTAATATGTTACAAGACTGTGAGAGCCGAAATTAATTAAACGCTCTTGTTAAAACTAGCTACCTGTCAAAAAAATTCACTGGCGAAACTTACAACAATAAAACTCTTAATGCTCGCGTGAAATTTGACATTGCGCTCTATTCAAGTGGGAAACATTGGAAAGAATTATTGCTTTTTAAATTACAACATATTAACTTTTTTAATTCTCTTATCGTTTGGAGACAGTTCTTTGGAAGAATGAACTTTAAGGCAGTATTATATTTGTATTACAGGCGTGCGAAGTTATAGATTTTTGTTGGCTTTCTTTAACACCGTATCTTCTTTCGTTACGAAGTGATTGGTTTCCAAATGCTTCGATTCAGGAAAATAATTAGTGTTGTTTTTCAACGAGAGAGATAACATCAGTCTCTGATGAACCCTTATCGTGAAAGTCTATATTAATCCCTGCTGTGAATTCAATGATGTTGGCTTATTAGACACAATATACAGTTTTGTGCCCTCGAAGCCATGCCCTGTCTTTACGATTAAGGACTAATTCCTTGATAGATAGCATATCTATTTCAAAATGAAAGGTTAAAGAAGTCTGCAATCGCGCCATCTCTTTGTGTTAAAATTCGCGTAAGACTTTCTCTTTGTTAGCGTTCGTGGTTAGTATCTTGGTTGCTTTCTGTTTGCCAAGTTTTCAATTCGACGGGCGGCGCTCCATCATTTCTTCCTAACCTTTTGTGTTGGACACTATTGTTTCGATGGCTTTTCCACTGCGTTCTAATCCTGAATGACACCCCACTTAGGATTTGCATACACTCTAAAAAGACCCATTCAATCAGACATTTCCTATTTGCATATCATTTAAGGCAATGTAAATGCTTTCAACTTGTGAACGCATGTCATTGTGAAATATTTGTTTGGTGTTTTTCGCGTGTTAAAAGCTTCGGGAATCGGACCAGTTTCGCCTTTTAAAAGGTTTTTTTTTTTAGCAAGCTTGTTAGCGCAGTTTTTAAATAGGATCAGAGAGAAGGCAGCTGCCCCGTTATCTCTCTCGTTTTGATTACAGTTTACGTGTGGGGTCCTCTTTGCATTCCAGCTAGGATTTTGTGTGTATTATAAGCGCGGCGATTGAACCGAAATCGAAAAACATCCGCGCTAAACGTGCTAACAGGAATTAATCTGAAGCCCAGTATTTCAATTTTCCAGGGTGTAATAAAAAAACTAGCGTGCTCTCCGGATGTGAGTTATTTTTCTTAATTCTACAGCTTGGGCAAGGTATGCCTTCTGTTCACTGATATCTCTGAAATGTTGACAGGCCAAAAATGTTTGTTTACGTTCGGTAAAAAAGAATGAAGTAATTTTCAAGGACTCCAGCGTTGTTTTCGGTAGACACTCAATGATGAAGTACTTGTGCTGTGCTTTTGATTGCATGGTAGCTTTTAAACGTCAAATCATTTTTGCCCTTGTGGGGCATCTCTATTGTCTGGAATCCTCCACGGTGAAACAAAAACATTTCAGTTTCATTCAAGTAAAAGTGCAGTATTTTACGATATACACCCTATATAGTGGAATCAACTGACCCCAAGAGCTGTGTTTCTTTTCACCTGTTAGATACAAAACCCTAGGTTCTTATTTGCGTGGCAGATTTTCATTGCAAGTCGATATTGGCCTCGGATTTTTATTCTAGTTTATGAAAATTTATTATTTGGAGAAGCTAAGTTTTAAAAGCCAAACACCTTGCCATTTCAAAGAGAAAGAAAAGTTCCGCAAAATCGTTCACGGTTTAGTAAAGAGCTTTCTCCTGAATAGGGTGGGCAAACATCAAAGATGAACCAGACGTGTTTATATTTCTAATGGTTGTATGTATACAACTGTGAGGCAAGAATATGTAGTGAGCTTTTCTCGGAGTGTCGAAAGTTTGTCTGGATGATCAAAGGCATAAAACCCAACTCAAAACCGGAAGTTACATTATGTGGCCGATCCATGCCCTTATTTTTGCCAGTGGCATATTTTTGTGATCGATTCCAAAGATGCTGTTGAAATCATCTTTCAGGGGGCAGCCTAAAGTTTTACGATTTAAAGGCGTCGCTCAATATATTGCCAACCAAAAACACGAGACGAACCGCCTCGCCATGTATGCCCACTGTTATTTTCGGTGCCGACTTCACAGGATGGGTGATCAAGCTATTTTAACGTTAGCAAACAACTGCTGTTACCGCTTTTGTTCCTGCAAACTTCAAGTCAAGAACGGCGGAAATCTTGAAAGATGGATTGAAAGAAAAAGAACGCTTTTTCAAGAGCTACAATTAAAATTATCTTTGGAACATACAAAAGAAGTGTACGTGTTTCGTCTTGCATATATGGTTTGAGGTTGCAGTATAGCCCATTTCCGTTTCATTATTTTGCATTTTCTTTTCTCTCCTTTTTTTTGAACATTTTTGTTTGGTGACCTAAATATCTGGAGCGTGACTTAGCTAAACAGTGAAATAAATAGAACTAGTTCTAAATTCGTAGGGTGTAAAAATGTTTCGGAAGTTTTACAAAATGGTCTGTGCATGTTACAAATCACACCAAAGCCTTAAAAACGTCTTTAGTTGTTCAAAAATGACAATGTATTGAGGGAAACCGCAATGACATTCACCATTATCAGGTGATAAATGGCCAAAGGAAATTCTGTTTCAACAATGCTAATGGCGACGCATTTATTTTAACCGCAAGCAACATTCCTGGGAATTTAACCCGAAAAAAAGGCTAAATGCATTGTAAAATATACTCGTTTTGTGTTGTCTAATTTGTTTAGAATTTGTTTGAGGCGTGTTGAGAACAAGTTTGTCACTAAAAACAACAGCTTGCCGCAAGTTTGCAAATTGATATGTGACCATGTCATGACCAAGGTCGATTCATTATTCAACGACTTCAACGGAATTGCGCGTGAATGAAGAAGGAATATGGAAAAAAAACGTGAAATAAAAGCCGTCTTGACAAGTTCAAATTGGCAAAGTTTGGGTAGTGAGCTTTTCCCCTAAAGATAGAATAAAAGAAAACACACACATCAACTAGAATAAATGACCTCTTTATAATTAATCAGTTTACGTTCGTTTATCAACAAGGGTAACGCGCGTGACGCTCCCGCGGTGACGCTCATCCTTCGCGCGGGGAACCGTTCTTGTCATCGACGTTAATCTGTTCCTCAAATTGCGTCTGTTCCGCTGGGAGGATTTCAGTGTTGTGTCTGGCGTAAGAAATTTCCGGATAAGTCCAATGTGGATTAATTGGCTAAGGGTTAAAGTTTCGATTTCATGAGAGGGCTTAAGAAATTATATACACTCAGCTTGATTTGACTATTAAACTGAGTCATGAACAAGGAAGTCAGGTCACGATTTGTCATCCAGCGCCATTAAGTTAAGCGAAGAAAACACTCAAATCGCGTACAAATATCCCCGGATATTTCTGCTCCTGGGGACAGATTTAACAGTACGCTGTAGTGCTCTTATTTTGTTTGACCGCACGAAAACACGCGACACAGAGAAAGGCTGGATTTCGGGAGAGAGCGATACAACAGCGATACAACATCTGGCTGTTAATGTCTACCAACATTAATGTAGAGCATTTTTTTTTCTGCTTTCAACAAAACTATCTTCAAGTCAAGAAAGCCAGCCTAAATAATAGCTAGCCAAGGTAGAAAACCAGAAACGAAGTAAAAAGAAACCAAAAAGGAAAAAAGATGCGCTTGGAGAAGACTGAGACGCATTACGAAAGACAAACGTTAAAAATTTGGGCTCTACTTTTGATGAAGCGTGGGACGTGGCGAGGTTTTTTTTCAGGTCGATTTTGCCGCTCCAGTAAACTACTAGTTTTTGCTCGCCTTTGAAAATAGAATATAAACTTGCGTGCGTAGTTTGGTTATCATTCGTAACCTGTATATCAGTTTCCGGAAAACTTGAGTTCTGGGATTTCCTGCTTTCTTTTAATCGGCTGATATAAGTGAGAATAAAAACTTGCTGTGATTTAACCCCTTTTGGCAGTTTCCCAGGGGCTCGATCGAGTTTGACGTCACGAGACCCGCACTCAGACCTGAAAAACAAAACAAAACAAAACAAAACCGGCGTGGAAATCTTATGTTAGTTCGGTTTGTACTGACTTTCGTTGACTAAGTTAGTCAAGTTAACCCAACGTCTATTACTAAAAATCCGTCGAACTTGGTGTGGCCAGTGGACTAGGAAAACTGGCGGCAGGAAGGTGAAAAGAAAATTAAAGAAAGAAAAGAAACACAGTTCAGCGTCAAGCCAATATCAGCACTGTCTATCTATATGTTGGCTTTGTTAACCAAACCTAGAACACGACCCCAAAGTGTAGACAGACTATAAATAGAGGGAAACCTGGCAGAGTAATTGCACAAATTCAGAGGGAAGGTGTCCTATTCGTACGTTTAACCCAAATAAAATATAGAAGCAAATATTAGCGATGACAGTGATCTATCTGGAGTACAATTTTTAAAGTAGTTCAAAAACGGAACACGCAAGAAAACCAATGATAATGGTTGAGGGAGACGTGGGAAGGGAGGAGGCAGGCATGCAGAGAACGTGTTCTGTGACTGTAAGGGGATGGGGATGGGACAGTAATGACGACGGCAACGAGAGCGTCACCAAACAAAAAGTTTAATGAGCAAAACAATAGCTGTGCACGTGCGCTATAAATATTTGTCCATTTCTTTACCGTCCTCTGCAAAACAAGAACGTGAAAAGAGTAAGTTCTGCATAGTCTCGGGAACGCGAAATACGAGGGCTAATTTTTCCTCTGGACATCGCACTGCTCTTGTTTCGCGCGCTTCTTCTCGCCCTGGAACAAACGTGTACTTGTACGCGCGCTTCGTGTCAATACGTTTGTCACCAATTCCAGTTCAAATATGGGAAATTTCTTTCTGCAACACATTGATCAGGTTCCTTTCTGTAGTCAGTAAGGTTTGAAGAGAAGCCAAGGGAACATTTATCAGTATATACCTGGAGACTGTTGGTTATGCAACTCATTATTTCTGTTTGGTTCGTTACGCAGTCATTCCTTCCAATAGATATTAATGGGGGTGGATTCAATGGCGACCCCAAAAACGGCTATAAAGTGATAATCCTGAGAAGTAGTCTTAACCTTTTGGTTCAGCTAAAAAACAGATGTTTTCAAATTGCTTACAGGTTCTTGATGAGAACGACAACAAGCCAGAAATAACTGTGAAGTTGCTCCCAGACGCCTTCGACAAGCAGGGCAAAATTCCCGAGGACACCATCCTCAATACTGGTGTTGCTTTGGTAACGGTGCAAGACAGAGACAGTGGACCCAATGGCCTTGTCACGGTCACTCTACAGCACCACAAGCAGGACTTCAGCTTACAGCCGATGTTCGCTGGGCAATATATCCTCATAATAGGACAGCCACTGAGTCTAGACCGACATGCGCAGTACAAAATCAAAATCGTGGCTGAAGATCAAGGTAAGCCACTGTCACAAAAGAACAGCTACATATTACCTGTCAAGCTAGCCGACAGCAACAGACACGCTCCGAGGTTCACTCGGAAGGTTTACGACGTGAACATCGGTGATGACGTCACTCCAGGCGCGGTAATCGCGAGGACGACAGCGACCGACGAAGATGATGGGAGAAACTCCGAGTTGACCTACAGTGTGGAAAGCGTACGCATAGGTGATCGTAATGGCAGCGTTGAAGACCCATCTAAATGGTTTGAAATTGATAATACAGGGCAAGTGTTTGTTTGGGTGAAGTTATGGTGCGTATTCACTTCATCTTTTACGGTGAACATTGATGTTCGAGATGATGGCCGCGTACCTCGACATGGAAAAACTGTGTTAAAAGTCGTCGTTAAATGTTCGCAGCATATACATAATTTTAGCGTGGCGGAGAATAAACCTGAAGGAGTTGAAGTTGGAAGGATTTCACTCACTTCTGCAGCACCAGACAAACTGCTTCGTGTAAGATTGGCCACGAATACCACCGACTTTGCTCTAGACGAAAAGAAGGGGATATTAACAACCACAAGAATGTTGGATCGAGAGGCGAACAGTTCTTACTCGTTGACTGCTGTTTTATCAGATGGAAGCGTGGAAATGGATATTATTTTGAACGTTGCGGTGGGTGACATGAACGATAACTCGCCCGTTTTTGTTGGAATGGTAGGTAGTCATAACATGACTCTGTCAAACGCTGTTTTCATTGGAGAAACAATCTTGAAACTACAGGCGATCGACAGAGATTCCGGATCAAACGGCCTTGTGAAATACTCCATCGTTAGTGGGAACAACCGTCGAGTATTCCACATGAACGAACGCAACGGGAAAATTTCACTCAGAAAGGTACTGAACGAAAAAGCTTACACTTTGACAATCAGAGCTGCGGACTCGGGTTTCATCGAAAAGGAGGCTTTTCTACGTTTGATAATCTCGGTCAAATTCATTACTCCCGCACCTCCGCCCTCCGGTCTCCCAGGGGACATTCCAGCTACAACGAAAGTGGACAATGGTGTGGTGGAAACCCGAAAGGGGAATGGGGGTTTCTTTTCGGACATAAAGATGATCATAGTGGTTGGAGCGTGCGTCGGCTTCTTGCTGTTAAGTGTTTGCCTGATAGCAGTTTTCTGCTTGAAGTTCAGGCGTAGAAATAACAAAGAAGAAGACAAACGCGGTAGCTATCATGAGCCAGACATAAGTCGGGAAGATGCCCTGAAGGCGTCCAAGAAAATGTTCCACCAAGCGACTTCTAACCCGCGCCAAGCGGCCGAGGCCTTTGTCTTCACCTCCCGTAAACAACCGATCGATGCATCTCCGAACCCGATCAAAAAGATGCACCCGACGATGACATATCAAGCTCCGCCGGGGACAGGATCCCCCACGGGTAATTCGCGACCGGATATGTATTACCCGTTTGAGCAGGCAATGGTCGAGTATCACAGTAGTGAAGATGATCTAGATAGCGGGCGTGGCTGGAGTTCCCACGGGTCCAGCCCGTATTGCGCTCACAGCCCCCCATCCAAAAGGAGAGAGGACGATTGGCGACCCCGAAATCACGTGAAATATCCAGCTCCTCAGTACCGAGCTCGCAGCCCTGGTATGCCACCTCCCCCGCCCCCGTACGAAGACGTACAGAGACGAAAAGCGTTAGTGACAATTTCTGGAGTCACGCATTCCACCACAGACTTATAATAACTACAGAATGAGATTATCGGCAGATAGACTGAACTATATTCATGCAGAGTAAATCATTAAGTTAAATGGACGCTTCATGAAAGCGCTTTGTTACACGAGAGCACAAATCATCGTTTTCTCTTTTTCTCATATAACAAAGAATATCATAATACTGTTCTTTGGAGACGAAGAAGGAAACAGAAGAATTTGTCCTGGGCAATCTCTACCTAGTCAACTCCAAGGCCTTCTTTTCGCCTTCTTTCCAGGAAGACATTTTTAACTGCAACCACAAAAACCATCACCTTCCTCTGCATCTAACTTGTAGACTCCATTTAACAAGGCCCATTTAAATTACTTATCATTGTGTGTGAGGCTAACCTCTGACTAAATGTTCTTCATACATTTTCCACACAAGAACGTTGATTGTGGTACCTAAGTCTCCCCTCACCCCTCCCCACTGGACGGTGTTGTGCTTTCGCTCAAAGTTGTACATGTACGTTTTTGTTCAAGTTCAGATTAATTTAACGACTAAATAGATGAATATTTACATTTACATTTTGTACAAGAGTAGAATATTTACTGTATAGTGAGAGCGGGCTGATTGTAGAGACTAATAGAGGAATGACATTTCCAGAAATTTAGTAATTTAAAATTTAAAGTTGTAATGAAATTATTTATCCTGCCTATGACTGTAATCAAATTTTGCTGATTGTAGGGAATGGAGGGGTTATAAGACGCTGATTTTATACAATGTTATAACGAATGAATACCAAGAGTTCATTTTTTAGGATAGGTATTTTGAATTGATTTTTTTATATTCATGGCAGAACGTAAATTGAGTAACAGGAATAAAAGGCACAAGATGCATGTTGAAAACGGTTATCATTTAACTGTTGCCAGGGATCTGGGCGCGGTATCCCATATATGGGGTGTGGATAGGTTGAGTCTGCCGTTGCCTGTGAACAGGCTCCCGGCGAGGACGGAAACTGAAGAATTCGGAGAGCGAAGCGATCGGGGCGGGGCGTACGCCGAATTCTTTTTTTCGCGCTCGTCGGGAGTCTGTTCGCAGGCTAAGTCTGCCGCAAAGAACATGGGGGATGTTCGCACAAACTCTTCCATCCTTATCAAACCCAGTTTCACATGAAACGTTTCCAGTAAGCCTCATTCTCGTACCCGGAGTCTTCATTTCTCCTGACTGGCGGTCGGGATGCGAGCGACCGTCCGAAACTATCGCCAGTACGTACTGCTTAATTGCGCATGTCAAGCTTGTCAAAAGCGTGGCTTTGTGGAGGCCCTCGGTGTTTCACCTCCGTTCAGTTCCATTGTTTTTAAGAACAATCGAAAACGATCCTGTAACGGAACTTGCCAGGGTGGCTTGTTTCGTCAAGTTGTACAGAAAGGAGTAAGCGAATAAAAAAAATACAGAGAAGAGACTCGAAACTGTAATAGGAAATCAATTTGTTGAGATCTCAAGAAACCAGTTCAAGGGTGTACAGAAAAGTTTGGATTCTTTACAGCCGACCGGCTTGTCACGCAATCTTCCTTTCCAGGTTGTTCAAACGGTGGATTATGCTATCAATCAGATAAATCACTATCCGGTGCACGGTATAATATGCGTTTTATCCGCTGCATAGCAGATTTATTCTTTTTCAAGCAGATAGTGTTGGCCGTGCCAGTTTCAACGACCGGGCGTGCAGGAAAAAAAAGTGACTGTCATTTTGCTGAGAAAAACGTGACATAAAGATGGGAATGAGCGGGTGCATTAACGGAGTGAGGCTACGTTACCATAGTGCTGTAAATGTTACGATATGCAAAGAATACTGTTTACACACTGGGCTTGGGATAATATCACGTTCAACTGAACTAGCTAGTAGCAGAGACCAAAACATGGAAATTCAGTCTGGTTTATTTCCTCGCTGAGCAGTTACAACCACATTGTCCTGGCTACCATTACCTCATGATACATAGAAATTAAACAAATATTACATCGGAAAATTAGAAACCGTATGTACAAGAGAATTTACCGTCTGAAGATATGTTACAATTTTGTCAAGGTTCTCCGAGTGTTCCTGTTCCAAGGTCTAGTCTGGCTTTCTTTCTTATTTTAGCCATTCGTTTATTATGCTCTAAATGTCTATATTACTGTTAGAGAATGCATACTGCTGGAGAAGAACCTGAAGAAGGTGTGTACAAAACATTTCCTCTCTGAGTAGTGTCGCAGTTTTACACGGGCGTTCCATTCAGAGGCCCTTTCGACAGTCAATTGTCAAGTGCTCGTACATGACGCACTTAGTGAACTCTTGAACTTCTTTCCCAGCCAGGTTGCGGTGCGATCACGGGATTAGCCGCTGGAGGTTCGCTCGCCGGCGCATCTGCTAAGGGTTGCTGCTGTTCATATGCTAGTGGCGGTGGAAAAAAATTACTCTGTTCGCTTGGTGGTAGTTTATCGTTTTGAAGCCCCGGCCCCTGATTTTCATTTTGGAGGGCGTTAATCAAGGAAGCATCGCTAAGACCAGTTTCCATACCAGGTTGATTTCCTGCTAAACCGGGTAATAAACCGGCTTCATTACCAAGTTCGTCGTTTTGAAATGCACCCATAGGTGGCATTCCCGGTGGCATGGCCGGTGGCATGGCTGCTGTCATGGGCGCCATTGGTGGCTGCATGAAAGACGCTTGAGGTGCCTGTGGCTGCGGTTGGTATGCCAGCGGTTGCTGGGCCATAGGAGATCCATAGGCTCCTTGGGCCGGGATCGCTGGTGCTGCCGGAGGCATTGCTGCGAGAAAACAAAAAGTACAGTCTGTTTCTTTTGACCAATTTCAATACAACATTGGGGAATGGAACCTTTACTTCTTGAACAATGGACAGATATATGGACGAACAGACGATGAAAGGTAGTTGCACTAAGAAAGGACATCAGTTGCGTTTTCTCTCGGCTGACACCAGTTCACCGTAGCTTGGGTTGGCTCAGCCTGTTCTAGGCTCTGGGTTGGCGAGGGCGTACGAAAGGGGACCAAGGCGAGTGCAAGAACGAGCGGAATCTGGGAAGAAAGTGACCCCTTCTCGCCCCAATTCCCTCGCCTTTTCAGTTTCCACTCGTGCTTCGCATTGACTTCCCACTTCTAACCAAACGAATAGAACAGGCTAGGTTGGGCTCGGTAAAGGCAACGGAAGTTGCTGTGACGTCTTACTAGCCCTCCCGCGATGCCATACGTTCAATTCTATTTTAGAGACAAAAGCTTTTAATTCTCCAAATCTGATTTTCCTTACCTGGAGGAGGTGCGGCCGCTGTAGAAGAAGCAGGATCACATAGAACCAAAGAGAGCAACGTTTAAAAAATGTTGATAATTGAAAATAGATAGAAAATTGTTAGCTCGTTAGTTAGATAGGAAAACAAACGCAATGTTCCTTACTACCGGGTCAGAGCGCGGAACGTGACACAAACGCTTAGCGCCTCACGTTCTACCTCACCAAACTACCTGTTCTGCGGGCTTATCATGTCAAGAGCGTTCTATATGGCAGTACATAAAGACATATGGTTAATGTGAAGCCCGCAGTACGCTCTCGACTTTCCTGATTCTCGCAGTTTGTGAAACTTTTGTCTATATGAGCCTGGTACATGCCCTTGCCCACCCTGAGTCTCTTCGTAGGGGATAGAGCGCATGCTCGGTGTCAGAGAGTTCCTGGGTTTGAATCCCGTTGGGGAATCAAATTTTTTTTTTTCCTGGTTATTCACACGCTCGTGTGTAAATAAACATTATCTTTCTATTAAAGGAGCCCAGTCACGGTTTGCGCATATTGAAAAGTTTAGCCTCAATTTTTCAAATTCGTCGTTTGTAACCTGTGTCAGTCATCTCCATCCCTAGCCATCCTTGTTCCTTTATGGTTTATAATTATCTCTTTGGTGTTTTCTATCCTATTAAACTGTTATTTTCAGGTTTCCTACCATTTAAAGGTAATTTTGTATGTGGCCAAAATAACTCAAAATACAGTGACTGAGCTCGTTTAAGTTGTTGGTGGAAAATTCCCCATTTTGTCTCTCACCAACCCCACCATTCTCAACAGAAACAGTTTGTTTTCTCCACACTGCACGCTGTAGATCGGAAAGAGGCGAGACCAAGATAGGTCAGTTTGTCAAACGTACCTGATGGATCCTTAATACATGTTGGTCTGTTGACGGCGATGGCGTCTTTGCATTTGGGCATCACGCATGGAACGTACTGAACCTTGCATGTTTGACCGACAGGACACTTGAATTGCTGATAAAACACCAAAAAGGAAGAAAACAAGATTAGTGTTATTTTGTCTTCCCCATTTCTTAGAAAATAGTTTTTGTGAGAGCGAACCGGGAATTACTTTCACCGGAAGTCACACGCGAGGATTGATTTACACATTGATTGATTGACATAAGTCACACGCGAGGATTGATTGACATATTGAAATTTAGAGTTGCAAATAAAAGTTCCCGGATTTTGCGGAAGAGCGCTTGCGCCATGGAAAATTTGTTGTGTTGTTGTTTTGTTGTGGTTTTCTCGGGGAAATTTTGTCAATTGAAACTCGGGAGTTTTGGATTGTCAACCGCGAACTGAAATACAGGAACTTATGGAGAAACAATCAGACAGCCTTTTAAAGGAACGGAATGCAGATATATCAGATAATGAGATGCAGGTGGTTGTAAATTTGCAGCGTCTCAATCAATAAGCCATTTCCAAGTTGCTCTTACCTCTGTTTCAAAACGAGTCTCAGTTCACAAGCTTTCATATTAAAGCTAGTTTTTCTAGCATGTTCATTGTCTTGCAAATCAAACTCATTTCCATATGAAAGATAATGAAAGGTTGTGCACCAGGACTCGTTTTGAAACAGAGGTAAAAAGTAACTCGGAAATCGCTTATTGCAAAAAATCGGGTTTTAATGGCAATCGCTTTCAAATAATATCCTTGGCACGTAGCTTAACTTAACATACCTTGCACGGGTCTGGATCTCGCACTGAAAGAAAAGAAGAGATACAAGGTTAAGATTTTTAAAAGGGCCATCTCACCACACAACATGAAAGTTTAGAATCATTGTTGGTGACATCAAAATTGTTGTGACAAGGTAAAAAGGAAAAAGCTAGAGAATAACCTGCGACAAGATCATGGTCTCTTGCCTGCAATGGATAAGCTTCCTGTCCAGGGAAGGTATATACCCTGCATGCAAGTGAGCCCTGCGGCCGATCCCTTACGCTGAATCCTGAGGCTTTAAACTAACTTTCAATTCCTTTATTAAAGGAGCTCAGTCACGGTTTCCGCATATTGAAAAGTTTAGCCTCAATTTTTCAAATTCGTCGTTTGTAATCCGTGTTAATCTTCTCCATCCTTAGCCATCCTTGTTCCTTTATGGTTTAT